TTGGGGGGACACCGAGACACAAACCATAACAGCTAGTTAGATAACTAATGAGAAAATCATGGAGTGTACCACTTTTTTAAAATGACATCAAACTTCCTCTCCCCCAAACCACAGCCCTAATGTATTTGTTGGCTAACTTGGGGTGCTGGGCATTATTCTGTACTCAGGGTGTTACTGCCCAATATGGCTTCCGCCAAAACTTCCAAAGGCATCTGGTAGCACAGCTCCCCCTGCTCCAGGCCTCAGTGAGGTGATGCTTCTCTCTTTGGCCCAAACCTTTTCCTGGAGATCAACTGCATTCCGAAGGACTGCATTTACTGTATTACTGCGTGACACATTACCAGAGACACAGCAGCCGATGACACCCCTCTTTAAGCTCTCACAGTCTCTGTAGGTCAGAAGTCTGGGCACAGCATAACTAGGTTTTCTGCTCAGAGACTCATCAGGCTAAAATCAAAGTATTGGCCATGCACCAGGTCAGTATGGAACAGGGACCCTTTCCAAGTCCATCCAGGTTGTTCGTGGAATTGTTTCTTCCAGTTGTAGGACTGAGGGCCTCTCCTCCTGACTGTTGACTGGGCATCATCCTCAGCACTAAAGGCTACCACTGTTAGCCATGAAGTCCCCTCCCCCAGCAGTTTGCTAGATGGCTGCTGCTTGCATTCAGTCAGCAGAAGGATATCTCTAATGTGTCTTCTTTCAGTACTGGGCATTGAACCTGGGGAATGATCTATATTCCCAAACCATTATTATTATTATTATTATTATTATTATTATTATTTCTTATGCAGCATCATATTAAGTTGTCCAAGTTCACCTTGAACATGTAATCCTTCTGCCTCAGCCTCCAGTGTAACTGGGATTATAGACATGCACCATCATGCTGGGAATATCAATTTCTTTCTTTCTTTCTTTTTTATTTATTTATTTATTTTTTGTGTGGAACTTGGATCGAACTCACCCTTGCGCTTGCCAGGGAAGTGCTTATTCTATTGAACCATCTCCCCAGCCCCCTCAATTTCTTTTAAAGGACTCACCTCACTATTCAATGTAGAGTCCACATTAAACTTTGTCAGCTCTTCTAATAGCACTCATGGATGATAGTCCAGGCTCTTACTCAGTAGAACATACGGTTGCAGGGACAGGAAGCAAAAATTTTGCTAATGGATCACTAGAGGTAATGGTGATTGGTACCATTCCTACTTCCACCCCTTCATTCCTGGACCTGTGAATCCTGGCTATGGGAGACACAGTACCATACAGAGGACACTGATTCAAAGCATACACAGCTTACCTCAGCCCTGCAAACTACTGCCACCTAACTGGTGCTATAATTGTTGTCTCCAAAGACCATTCCAACTTTCTAGCAATCCAGCTACTTCTAAATGGTAAGGAACATGGTAAGACCAGTGAATTCCATAAGCATGAGCCCACTGCTGCACTTCTTTGGCTGTAAAATGTGTTCCTTGATCAGAAGCAACGCTGCATGGAATTCCATAATGGATAAGGCATTCTGTAAGTCCATGGATGATAGTTTTGGCAGAAGCATTCCATGCAGCAAAGGCAAATCCATACCCAGAGTACATGTCTATGCCAGTGAGAAGCACAGTCCCTCACATGATGGAAGTAGTCCAATATAATCAACCTACCACCAGGTCACAGGTTGATCACCCCAGAAAATGATTCCATATTGGGGATTTAATGTTGACCTCTGTTGTTGGCATATTGGGCATTCAGCAGTGGCTGTAGCCAGATTAGCCTTGGTGAGTGAGAGTTCTTGTTGTTGAGCCCATGAGTAACCTCCATCCCTGCTGCCATGGCTACTCTATTCATGGGCCCACTGGGCAATGACAGGGATGGCTGAAGGAGGTTGGCCACTATGCACAAAACAGATCATCTTATCCACTTGATTTTTTTTTTTTTTTTTTTTTTTTGGAACTGGGGATTGAATTCAGGCCCTTACACTTGCCAGGCAAGTACTTATTCCACTGAGCTATCTCCCAGGCCCTCCACTTGATTATT